CTGCTTACAGAAAACTGTGTAACTTTGATTCCTCCTCTGGCTTTTTAAATGTCTGTACCTAACCTAAAGGGATTACAAGGCTGTCACTGAACCTGTCTGGAGCGTGTGCCTTTGTCACGCTCCAGCTGTGGGAATGTGAATGTGTGATTGCCTATTGCACTTTATTTTTTTTGTTGTTCTACAAACTTTGTTGCTTGACAAAAATAATGTCTCCCAGGGGCCTGTTTTAGGGCCAATAGTGATTATTTGTGAGCTCTTCTCTCACAAATTTTCTTTGTTACCTCCTTTTTAAATTACTGTTTATCCTTACTGTTCAACTTACTGTTCTTTCCCTCTAGGAAGTTAGAAATTTGCAGAGTTCGTTCAGTCATACAGATAGTATTGTGGGTTTTCTTCATTTCGAGGATTTTCTTTTCCTCTCCAAGGACAAAGTATCCTGCTGTCCCTTTCCTCAATTTTGTTTCTAACTGCTTTCTGCACCTGCAAAAAGTGAACAAGAACATCAATATTACATTGTAATATAATATATACATTCACAGTGTAATATTGATGTTTAATATATTCATATATATGAATGTCCATGTAATATTAATTTATATTACGTTGTGAAAAAATATATAGATGTTCTTGTTCATTTTTTGCAGGTGCAAAAAGCAGTAACAAAATAGGCGTGTGTATTTCCTAGTGTGTGTGTGTATGTGTACATGAAGTTGTAAATACAATTTAGGGATATTGGTTGTAGCCTTGTGGGTCTAAAGGCATAAGCAGACAGAACTCTTGTGGTAGTGGTAATATCTTTTATTAGATGAACTAGTCAGTTGCAAAAAAAAAAAAAATCTTTCCTCGCAAGCTTTCGGGCCCAAATGCCCTTCGCCAGGCAAAGGAGAATTCAAAGGTGGTAAAATTTCTTCCAGGGAAAAACGAAACTTCATATTGCACAGTAGAACTAAAAGATGGTATGGTTTTCTTGGGTAGGAAAGTTCATTGGTAAAATAGCTGCCCTGCAAGTATACAAATTAGGCTCAAACAAAGGCTGGAGCAGGTGTTGGATGGCATGCAGGTTGCTGAATGTTGCTTCTTTTTTGTTAAGTTGTTTATGTTGCAAAGGAGAACTAGAAGATGGTATGGTTATCCTGGTTAGTAAAGTTCATAAGTTCAAAAAAAGAAAAAAAAGCTGCTCTGTGAGTATGCAAATTAGGCTCAAGCAAAGGCTGGAGCTCGTTGTTTACCTCAAGGTGTCCAATGGCAGGCAGGATGCTGAATTTTACTTCTTTCTTCTTAAGTTGTGAAGTTTTCATTTCAAAATGGATAATTATGTTATTTTCCATGTTTTGGGGATATTGGTTGTAGCTGTGTTGGTCTAAAGGCATAGGCAGACAAAACTATGCCTGCCTAACTATGCAAAAAAACCCCCAACAAAACACGCTCATGAACCATACCATCTTTTAGTTCTCCTGTGCAACATGAAGATGTGCATCTCCAACCAGTGTATCTCCAGGTCTTGTCTTACCAATCTCATTTCCTTCTACGACCAGGTATCTTGCCACCTGGATAAGAGAGAGGAGGTCAACATTGTATACCTAGACTTCCAGAAGGCCTTTGATCTGGGTATCCCTTGATGTTCTCACAGGAAAATTGGAGGATTACGGGCTTAACTGCTTGACAGTTAGGTGGGTAGGAAGTTGTCTGCGGGGGATCCAGAGAGTTCTAATGAACGGATCTGCATTGTTCTGGCGAGATGTGGCCAGTGGTGTCCTGCAGTGGTCTGTACTTGATCTAGTGCTTTTCAACACCTTTATCAATGATTTGGATGTGGGGGTGAAGAGCTCACTGGCCAAGTTCACGGACGACACCAAGTAATGGGGGAGCGTGGTCACGCTTGAAAATAGGCTACAGATACAGGTGGACCTAGACAGGCTGGCAAGTTGAGAAGATTGGAACCAGATGAAGTTCAGCATTGAAAAGTATAAAGTGCTCCATCTGGGGACAAAGAATTCCCAACATACTTACAGGCTTGGTGGCACCAAACTGACTAGCACCATGACAGAAAGGGACCTGGGGTAATAATAGACCATAGTATGAAGTGAACATGAACCGTCAGTGCAATGATGTAGCCAGCAAGGCAAACAATACTCCGGCATGCGTGAACTGATGCATCTTGAGCAAAACCAAGGAAGTGATTCTTCCACTTCACTCAGCATTGTTGAGACCACAGCTGGAGTATTGTGTCCAGTTCTGGGAACTGCTCTTCAACAAGGACATGGAAAAACTTGAGAGAGTCCAGAGAAGGAACCACCTGTATGATCAGAGACTTGCAAGGCAAGCCATATGAAGAAAGGCTGAGGGACTTGGGTCTCTTCAGCCTAAAAAAGAGAAGGCTGAGGGGACTTGGTAGCAACTTATATCAGGGGAATACATCAAGGGCTCAGTGAACAACTGTTCACCAGGGCACCCTTGGGGAAAACCAGTAGTAATGGCCACAAACTCGTAGAAGACTGTTTCAGGCTTAACACTAGGAAAAACTTCGCAGTTAGGGTGTCCAGACTGTGGAATAAACTCCCTCCAGAGGTGGTGTAATCACCTACCCTGGAAAATCTTCACGAGGTGATTGGACGGTCACCTTGCTGGGGTCACCTGACCCCAGTTGTGTTTCTTTCCTAGTGCAGGGGGGGCTAGACCTGATGATTTTGCAAGATCCCTTTCAGCCCCCTTACAATCTATGAACAACTTAACAAAAAAGAAACAAAATTCAGCGGCCTGTCTGCCATTGGACACCTTGAAGTAAACAACTGGCTCCAGCCTTTGTTTGAGCCTAATTTGCATACTCACAAAAAAACTGTTTTACAAATGAAATTTACCACCCAGGAGAACCAGCCCCCCTGCCCCTCTCCCCCACTCCACACACTGCGGGGAAATGGGATGGGACTGGCCATCAATATTTACAGATGGGTCCTGGTATAAAAAAGGTTGAGAACCACTGCTTTAGACCATGGTAGAACAGGGATTTGAAGCCAGTGCTTCACATTAATGCTGAATTTGTTAGCCACTGCTAACCACCCTGCTTGTAATTAGTTAGACTCTAAAGTATTGCCTTGCCCTGCCTTATGCCTGACTTCAGAGTAAATATGACTAGCTACCTCTCCCTCTTTGCATTGGGTAGATAAAGAGTGAGGAGACACCCTTGGGACCGAGTCTGGAGTGTGACTGCAAAGTGGTTTTGCTACCTTACAAAGGCCTGAGTGGAAGGATTTGTTACCTGATTCCTGTTCAGAAGTTTTACTTTGTGTGAGCTTTTTATGCACCAGGGTGGGTGGAGCAATATGGAAGTTTCCTTTAAGTTTTAATTTGGGCATGTTTGAGTGGATTTTGTGATGCAAGCAAAAGGCAACTTCTGAAATCCATTTTTACCTTCTCTAAAGTGTCTGAAGTCTTGCTGTATGAAGAGTTTTGTAATATAATTTGTTATTTAAAAAACAGACTGGTTCTGATGAAGGCTGCCTGCACACATTTAAATAATCTGGAAGAATTTGCCCAGGTTTGCTCTTCTGGTAGAGAAACTTACCCAGAGCCATGTGTATAGACATGCAAATGCAAAGACCCTGTAGGTTGGAGAGCCTGCAGTGTTGACACTGTTCAGCCAGGGGGGACCTTGTGCACATATCTCAGCATGGTTTGCAGACTCCTTTAGTGTGACTGGTGACAAATGGCAGCAGTGTATAGGGCAGCCCTTATTTGCTGCCTCTTAATGCCCATGGTCAGCCTGTTTCCTAGCAGCACAATGTGGGAATTGTGAAGGGGGCATGCTCTATTACCTGCTGGAGCAGTAGAGTCCAGGGAGCAACACAGTCTCCCTGGGTTGTGCAGAGGGGGATGCTGGAGGACTATGTTTTCTTTAGAGAAATGCACAGCATGTACAGACATTTGCTCCTAACAGAAACTCTCCTGGGAATAATTTAACTCTGGTTGTTACCCAGGTTATTTTTCTCTTGGAGGGGCCCATTCTTACTCTACAGATTTTCAGGCTTTTTCTTTTATACGCATTGTTTCTCCTGAGAGAATAGCAACTCTCCCAGGAGAAAAAGAATGTCTGTACGAGGCCATAATTTAAACTAATTCTAGCCTCTTTCCTATATTAGTATAACATGTACATAACTATATTTTTTCACTTTCATTTGTAGATGAATGAACTGACTTTTTAGGGTGATTTATTTTTTTAAAAGTGCATCAGGATAAATATAAAATACGAAGTCTTATTCCATGAGAATGGAAATGTTACAACCCCTTAATTTTAACACCTAGATTGCAACAATTTGCCTATTTTCTTTGGTTATACCAGTAGTCCACATACATGTACCTTTTCTTAAGTAATAGATAAGGCTTGATTTACCTAAGACGCATATATTAGACCTATTACATTGATTTAAAATGTAATCAAGATAAACTGGTGTAAATCAGACTGGGTTGCAAGTGCCACATTAAGAATTTGCAACTGTTTAACTAAATTAAGTTTGAAATAATTAACATGGGTACATCAATGCATATTGGTAGTAAAGAAGAGTTGAATTTATATTGCCAAATGGAGTGATGTTACATAGAACATGTTTATCAAGCTTAGGTAGTAGAGTATAAGCTTAGGAAGTTTGAAGAGGGCAAATCATTTCGTGGGGATAGGAGGAAGAATAGAAATCTTAGGTTATTAAATACGGCAGGATTAGTTATTTCTTAGTAGATCCTATATCTGTTTTCACATTTAATTATGTTTTCACAACAAGACTCGAAATAAATTGAGACCGTAAAACATGGGGCAGAAAGACTTAATAACTTAAGCACAACATGCTGATATCAAAGGAGAAAATCACTCAATGCTACTGTAAAATCCTAAACTGAATGATTTTGAGGAGGGAAAGCCCTCTAAAGTAAATAGTCCTTTTTGTCTACTTGAATTTCACATTTCTTTTTTTTTGAAGGAGAAAAATTCAACAACTGTATTTAATTTTCAGAGCACCAGAGATTATACTGGGGTTGCCGTTTTGTGAAGCCATAGACATGTGGTCACTGGGGTGTGTGATTGCAGAGCTGTTCCTTGGATGGCCACTGTACCCAGGAGCACTGGAATATGACCAGGTAATCAAATAGTTTAATCAATGACCTTGTATTGGGAAAAACTGCATCTTTTTTTTTGACGGTGAGACAATCAGAAAGCCTGCCCTAGGAGCCAAAATGCCAATAATTCTGTCCACATTTAATAGTATTTATTTTAGATTCTGTAGAACACATTTTAATATCATTGAAAGATTACATATCGATTATCCTAGAAACATAAATCCTTTTATCTGCTGAAGGGGTATAGCATGGTCATCACTAGTATAAACTTCCACAAATTACCTACACAATGTGTTCAACTATCACTTGAAGGAGCTACCTGTAGAATTAATCCTTGGGTTCTTGATAGTTGTACTACTTCATGTGTTCTGAACCATATACTTTGTGAGGTTTGTATCATATCAAAGACAACCTGCACCACATAGTTTAATGGAAATAAATTGCCTGAAATAAAGTTCAGTTAAATTAAATGTTAATATTATTCAAATTTTCTAAAGAAAAGGACTAGGTTAAAAATGTTGAGGGTATGGGTCAGATTTTCACTGAGGCATAAGTCTTGCCTACCACTACTCTCCGCAGAGTAAAGACTTCTTCTGTGGGTGGTGCCACTGCTATAGCAGCATTGGGTCAGATGTCTGTTGGCTCAGATTGCGTCCCCCTTCCCCGAGGCTTCCAGATAGGCTACTAGGTGCAGGGCTATACTTACTGTGACAAAGATGATTTGTGGGGGGGCGGGGAGTACTATTCTGCTTGCCCCCTGCTACCAGATACACTGCTGGGTGCAGCACTACCCTGCCCTGTTCCTGTGGCTGGGCAGGGGCCGCACAGGGCTGCCCAGGGTCAGGAAGTGACTTGGGTGGCCCCATAGTAGTTGGTGCCTGAGGCTGGTGCCCAGTTTGCCCTGTGCTAGTTATGTGACTGAATTTTCAGCTGCTGATCTACTGATCTTAATTGTACAGCAGTGGAGGATCTGATCCTATATTGTATTTTGGAATATTCTAGGTAAATATTATTTGTACAGGGATGTACTTTATTTTACTCATTTAAAACCCATGCTTTATTAATTAAAACTAACCTAAAAATGTTCATAATTAATATATTTACCTTTTGGAAAAATACATGTACAGAGAGATCTCTACTGTTGTCTGTGCTCCTAGGGCCTAAACCAGACAAGAAATTCCTATAGCTCAAGAAATTCAAATTCTGTACTTCTCTGAGTCCTCTCCCTGGCAGAAACATGGTACATACTATTACTTCTAATAACTTCTAGTCGCTTTCCTTGTGGCTGTTAAAGGGCAATGGCTGCTGTGATTGAATGCTGCAGCTGTACTGAAGTTTTCTGTTTCAGCTCTAAGGAGTTTTTTTGTATCCTTCTTGGTTCTTGTCATTTGAAGGGGAAAATAAAATGTTTTGTTTCATCAGGATGCATGCTATCAGTAGTTTAATGCTCAGGTCCTGTTAGCTCTGTTAATTAAGAGCTGCTTTTTTGAGTTAAGTTTGGGTAGTTGTCTTAGTTGTTGTCTTGTTTGTATCTTACAGAGTGTTAGAAATGACGCTGCTTGGCTGTTGCTAGTAGGAATCAAAGCCCATTAATGACCACTACTTTATCATTTCTGGTGGGCATGTTATATGAATTGATTGTCTTTAGGATCTCTGTTTAGTGTCATTATAGATCTTAGTTAAGCAGTTGCAAGCTGTCCTGACTTCCTCTAGTATTTTCTGGATATCCATCATGAAGTCAGCTTTGAAGTCAATAATGTTGAGTGGAAATAGGAAAAAATTATCACCGTAAGACATTGCAATAGAAACTGTGCAGAACCTGAATGTTCTTCTGGGAGGAGTTGAGCAGCCTGTGTTCCCCATGTATTCATCAGACTGTGTTCATCCCAGTCTGCAGGGCAGCCTTTTCCTGCTGCTTAACTCCTCCCATTTCACGCTAGGTGTCAAGTGGGGATGGGGAGGAGAGCATACAGGCATTTGATCCTGCACAAGAAAATTGCACAGTCAAGGTCTTCCTGATATGAAGGAGAAAGATCTTTTTCCTGGATCCAGCATGTTTCTTATGGGGGAAAAACTGCATGCATGCCTGTAGGTTTCCAGTTTCTAGTGGGAGGAAGGCATTTCTCCTGCTAGAAGTATAACACCTGTCCATACCCTTAGTCTACTGGTAGACAGTCTTAAAGATAGATATGTCAGCTTTTCTTTGCATTGTAAAGAGTTTAATTGGAAATTTAACTCCAGTTTTTGTCCTTTATATCTGGCTGTAAGTGATTTAAGCTTTTGGAGATCCTAGAACCTACTCTAATTCATAGATTCATAGATGTTAGGGTTGGAAGGGACCTCAATAGATCATCGAGTCCGACCCCCTGCATAGGCAGTAAAGAGTGCTCTTGAAGACCCCCAGGGTAGGGGAGAGCACCACCTCCCTTGGGAGCCCATTCCAGACCTTGGCCACTCTAACTGTGAAGAAGTTCTTCCTAATGTCCAATCTAAATCTGCTTTCTGCTAGCTTGTGGCCATTATTTCTTGTAACCCCTGGGGGCGCCTTGGTGAATAAATCCTCACCAATTCCCTTCTGTGCCCCCGTGATGAACTTATAGGCAGCCACAAGGTCGCCTCTCAACCTTCTCTTGCGGAGGCTGAAAAGGTCCAGGTTCTCTAGTCTCTCCACGTAGGGCTTGGTCTGCAAGCCCTTAACCATACGAGTGGCCCTTCTCTGGACTCTCTCCAGGTTATCTGCATGCCTCTTGAAGTGCGGCGCCCAGAATTGCACGCAGTACTCCAACTGCGGTCTGACCAGCGCCCGATAGAGGGGAAGTATCACCTCCTTGGATCTGTTCGTCATGCATCTGCTGATACACGATAAAGTGCCATTGGCTTTTCTGATGGCTTCATCACACTGCCGACTCATGTTCATCTTAGAGTCCACTAGGACTCCAAGATCCCTTTCCACTTCCATGCCACCCAGCAGGTCATTCCCTAGGCTGTAGGTGTGCTGGACATTTTTCCTCCCTAGGTGCAGCACTTTGCATTTCTCCTCGTTGAACTGCATTCTGTTGTTTTCTGCCCACTGGTCTAACCTGTCTAGGTCTTGCATCTGATGGATGCAATCAGGTGATATAATTTAAATAAAATTTACTGTCTGTACAAAGGCAGTAGACCTTAGCTCCTGAGAGGAAAAAAATCACTTTACTATTTTTATGAACATTTCAAACATACTTCAAAAGTAAATTATAACTGGGTTAGCTAAAAAGGCTGTAGAGCAGGATGATTCTTCTAGTTGTTGCTCAAATGCTACATACTTTTTTTACAGACTTTCCTGAAGGAACGCTTTGACAATGAAGAAATTAAACCAGATTTATGGATGTCCTTGGAAGGTGGAAATGCTTGTACTGAATGTGGAATTCTAGCAGAGGATACAGCTCTGTATTTTGGAGGCACTACAGTAAGACAAGCTGTCACACAAGACCTGGATCTGAGGGGTGCCAAGTATGTCATGTTACCAGCTAGAATTTGACATAGCTGATGTGTTCTAACAGAGGGCTTCATTAATAATAATAATAATAGAGATCAGATTGGTAACAAACATATAAATAAACAGTAACAGATAAGGCAGCTTATGGGAATGATGATACTGAACTTTTCACTTCTAAGCGACAGTTCAGAGTCATCTCTGGTAGACAATGACAAATGGTTCTTATTTTTACCATCAACTGGAATTTTTTCACTGACATTTGTGAAATGAGTCATTATTTATTTTTGCGGAGTATCTTGCTGCTTTGTAGGTATATGATAAGAAAAGGTCCTTACTCAAAAGAGTTTAGAACTTATAGACAAAGTTTAAGAGCAGTGCAGTGCTGGTGACAACTGTGTTACAACCTCAACTTCACAACTGACACCAGCCGGTACTCTGGCTGCCAGTCTCAGCAAAGAGGTGAAGAACTAAGTGGGCATGAGGGAAAAAATGTGTATGTGCCTGTGCTGTGCCCATTCTATATATTGACAGTATTTGAGAGGGTCACAGCAGCACATCTCACAAACACCCAAAAGGTTTTCAAAAAATAAGTAAACAAAAGTATTTACTTAAAAAATGCCAATTGTGTTTATTTATGTTCGGCTATAGGAGAATTGGATTTAACCAAGTATCATGTGAGTTCTGGGTAGGGCATGCACTACATTGAAGAAACAGCTATTAAAAAAACCCCTAGAGACTTCTTCCTTAGCATGAGAGTGGTGTAGACAGGAGCTAATTTGAGTATATCATACAGATTTTTCTAAGTGAAGCTGAAGCATTAACATTTAAAAAATGGCCAAGGGAATTTCCTCTTACGGCCTCTCTTCACTGAAGGCCATGGGGAAAGAAAAGCATGAGATTTGCCAGACTGTTAAAGGAACAAGTCTCTGTGGTAATTTGTAACAAAATGCCATGTCCTGCCAACATTTACAGACGTGAATGGCTTTTCTCGGGTAAGTAACAGGTCCTGTACACAGGTTAGAAACCTGCGTGAACGGTGGGACTTTGCCGTCTGCGTCTCCCAGCAGATGTCTGGGTAGTTTAGGTCCCCCATGACTACTGCCTCTTTAGCTTTTATGGTCTCCGAGAGCTGCCTCAGGAGCCCCGAATCTATTTCTTCCCCTTGGTGTGGGGGTCTGTAGCAGACCCCTACCACCAAATCCCTTTCTCCTTGCCCCCCATGTAGCCTAACCCACAGTCCTTTTACTTCCTCGTCCTTTGATTCCTTCTTGATGAGGGTTGATGTATATTGCTCATTGACATAGAGCGCAACCCCTCCCCCTTTTTTCCCCACCCTGTACTTTTCGTACAATCTGTAACCCTCAATATGTACCGCCCAGTCGTGGGACGAATCCCACCAGGTTTCCGTTAGCCCTACTAAGTCATAGGTGTAATGGCACTGACTTGTTACCAATTTGCTATATTTTGAGTGCAGCACGATATATGGAATTGTTGGTGTTTCCTTAGCCACCCTGTTTTGATTTACAGCAAAGCAATTTGCTCTGAT